ATAGAACAGCCGTGATTTTTAAAAAGTGCCCTTTCAATTTTTTCCTGATATAATAAATCATATTTATATTAACATGTGAGATGAATGTAAATCACATGATCATTAAAATCATATGATAGACTCTTTGCTTTTGGTATTTAGAAAAAAATAAGGTTTGATTGAAATACAATATTTTTTTGAGCTACCAAAAAGGCGATGTTTATGTGATAATAATATACATAAAAATATTAGGGACCGGTCATTATTTATAGTGGGGGGTGGCACCGAAGAGAAATGTTTTTCGTGGCAAAAATTTTGCTGACCCAACCATTAAAAAGTCAAAAATTTGATTACCCAACCTCAAATATCAATTAAAAAATAATTACCCACCCCTGGCCAAAAACGTTACAAAAAGATACCATTCAGTTGTCACACACGTCCTTTACCACTTCTGTGACATGAGTTTGATAACGGCTTGTGCAATTTTCTGCAGTCTAAATTTTCATGTTGTCTGCACATGTACTTTCTTTGGAAACACCATTTGTTTTGTCAAAATCATCAAGATAGTGACTCTGATTGATTCACATATTGTATTGACAAATGACTGTTGACATTGCTTTCAGTCAACAATATTTCAGTGAGTCATGTTTTGGAAATGACAATAAATTTTTATTACCCAACCCTTGAGTTGTTTTGTTTTTCATTTACCCAACCTTTTACTTACTCAAAATTTTATTTACTCAACCTTTTTCTCTTCGGTGCCATCCCCGGTCATAAATAATGACCGGTCCCTTACTCGACTGTGATTGGTTGATTTCATTGCAGTTAATCCCAAACAGCAGTGCAATTTTCTGTAATCACAGTGCAATTTTCTGTAATCACAGTGCAAAAATCTGTAACAATCTGATCTGATTGGTGGAAAAACATTGTGATGATAAAATCAACCAATCAGTTTAAAGCATTGAACTATAAATAAACTGGAAGGCTAACTGCTATGATGAAGGCCTATGATTTGATGAAGCCAAAATAGTTTTTCTGAGTTATGAGCAGAAATACTTGACCCCCAACGTTCGGCTATATATCAAATTGAAGCTATTGAAAATTGCTATTCGGTGTGGAAATTTCAAGACTTCAGCGAAAAGAAAAATATTTAAAAAATACAAAAACAACTGCAAAACGGCAAATTTTCGGTAATTATGTTTGTAGTTTTTCAATATTTCCCTTTTAGCTAAAGTCTTGAAATTTCTACACCAAATAGCGTTTTTCAATAGCTTCAATTTGATATATAGCCCAACGTTCAGTGTTGAGTATTTCTGCTCATAACTCAGAAAAACTAAAATGCACTGGCTTCAATTTCCCCCCCTGAGTTAGCCTTCCAGTTTATTTATAGTTCAATGAGCTGTGCTCCGTGGTCAGACCATTGAACTATAAATAAACTGGAAGGCTAACTCAGGGGGGGGAAATTGAAGCCAGTGCATTTTAGTTTTTATTAAAATGAGTATTTCTGCTCTATATAGTATTTCTGCTCATTAGAGTTATGAGCAGAAATACTCAACACTGAACGTTGGGATATATATCAAATTGAAGCTATTGAAAAACGCTATTTGGTGTAGAAATTTCAAGACTTTTGCTAAAAGGGAAATATTGAAAAACTACAAACAAAATTACCGATAATTTGCCATTTTGCAGTTGTTTTTGTATTTTTTAAATATTTTTCTTTTCGCTGAAGTCTTGAAATTTCCACACCGAATAGCAATTTTCAATAGCTTCAATTTGATATATAGCTAAACGTTTGGGGTCGAGTATTTCTGCTCATAACTCAGAAAAACTATCCTGGCTTCATCAAATCATAGGCCTTCATCATAGCAGTTAGCCTTCCAGTTTAGTTATAGTTCAATGGGTCAGACATGAGTCGTAAGGTGGGCTGCGTCCTTCGCAATTGGCCTTTCTCACGAAGGCCAAAATCCGCCATTTTGGAGGTACTGTCTCACTGTCTCGTGGTGCGGAGACTCACAAACGTGGGAGAGGTAGTACCCAAAAAATGGCGGGAAAACCGGCCGTGAGAAAGACTAATTCAGCTTAGCTCTCGGCTGTGCAAATAAGGATGATTAGCACACCCCACTAACTTAAGATAAATACATTGTTTTGACATGTTTACTGGGTGTATAAAAAAGGTAATCCAAAAAGTTGGCGTGTTATTTTCCGGTATGTAGGATGGATCCTCTCGCGCAAAAAAACGTGTCATGTTTTTTGTGTCAAAACATTTAGGAATGCTACTTATATTCCTTACCTGGTGAAATCGACATTTAGGAATGACGACAGCTGATTGGTCTGCGGAAAATGAATGTCGACAGCTGATTGGTCTGCGGAAAATAAATGACGACAGCTGATTGGTCTGTCGAAAATTGTGCTGCGATTAGCTGCATGTTGTCTTGGGTCCTCTGCGTCAAAACAACTGTGCATGAGGGCTTTCGAATAATACTGTCGTAACAAATTCTTAAATGTTCTTACAAACATATATTAGGGTGTCTTGAGCCTATTGGAAGACAATTCCATACTTTCGTGACGCAGGTAATATACAATCACTGGAAAGTACTATAGTCCTGCATTTTTTTTTGGGGGGGGGGGGGCGGAAGGATAACTCACTGGCACTGGAAGATCTAGTTGCTCTTGTGGGAGTTATCGCGGTTTAGAGACAACATCTTCATTTATATGTCAAGGTTATTGTGCGTTAATAATAGACTAATAGGTTAACTTGCATGTTAGACTGAAGTAAATTCCCGTAAAGAACATAATGAAATTAGTAAATTGCAAAATTTGGTTGCGAAAGTTGTAGAATACGGAAAATATAGCCTTGCAAAGTTTGCAAATTCTGTATATGTTTGTATTATGTGCAGAAATTGTTACCATTTTTGAGCCGAAAACGGTAACAATTTCCGCACGTAATACAAAAATATACACAACATTTGCAAACTTTTGCAAGTCTATATTTTCCAAACTTTACAACATTTCGCAACCACATTTTGCAATTTACTAATTTCATTATGTTTATTTTTAGCTGCGCCTATGGTGTTTGATTCCCTTATCTTCACTTGGACTAAAATTTAGTCACATGCAAGTTGTCCATTAAGAAATATTATTTTTTACACCTCCATGCTTAGAATAATCCCGGATTAAAGTCAACTCAAGTATTCATTTTTTTAAATTTATTGAATTTACCACTTGATATGTTACATAACAATTACGCAATTAATTATTTTAATGCGCAAAGCTTATTTTGAAATTAGACTCCCTCACTGGTACAAATATATTTTTCTATTATTTCAAGTGTAATACGACCCTGTACATGTATAATAATCCTTTTGATTTGGATCATAGGTATCTTATATACACTAGATAGTGCATCTAATTATTCTGCAATTCAAAAATTGAACGGCCGTGATTGCAGACTCAGGATATTCCCATGAAATGAGAAGACTCGTATGTTTTCTATTTCTTAAAAAGGGAACTTAAACATTTAAGTTAAACCTATTCCAAATACATTTGCATTCACTATCCAAATCATAGATATCTTATATACACTAGATATAGCGCATCTCTTTAAGTAAAATTGAAGCGAAGAATATCCCAGCGGTTACCCCCATTTGAATAGATGGCGGCCATGTTGAAGTTTCCCACTCGCTAATAAACGCTTAAAAAACCACAATAACTTTCATCATTTGAACTGTTTGAAAATGTATTTGGAATAGGTTTAACTTAATGTTTAAGTTCCCTTTTTAAGAAATAGAAAACATACGAGTTTCTCATTTCATGGGAATATCCTGAGTCTGCAATCACGGCTTCAATTTTTGAATTGCAGAATAATTAGATGCACTATCTAGTGTACAGAATAATTAGATGCACTATATCTAGTGTATATAAGATATCTATGACCCAAATCAAAAGGATTATTATACATGTACAGGGTGTATAAAAAATGAGACCTTAAAGCCTGGTCTCAATGTGGTCGTAACTGTCGCGAACATGTTGTAAGTGTCGCCAGAGTAGTGTTCGCGACCAAATGGAAACATGAAGGAAAGTCTTGTCGCGACACGCTGACAACAGTTCACAACAGTTACAACAGTGTCGTCGAGATAGACTCGAGTTCTATCTCCACGACAGTTGCAACAGGCTAAAAGCATGTCGTGACGGTTATGTTTTAATGGAAACAGAACTAACGACAGCGTGGCAACAGTTTTGCGACAATCAGAGGGGGGAGGGGGGCAAAGGTCCCCTTTGGGCGGAACCGTGTTTGTCTTTTTAAAAATGCCGCCAGCTGCTTGTACGATCCCTGGGTACGAAATTAATTTGCGACAGTGTCACGACAGTTATACAACCATATGGAAAAAAGCATAAAAATCATTCAAGACAAACACTTCACGACACGTTCGAAAGGTGTCATAAAAGAGCTAAAATCCTGATCTTTTTTGGCACGAAAAATGTTAATCTCACTGCAATATAAAATACTCAACGCGCAATAACATGCCAAAATTCCTCAGACAAATCTAGTAAATCCAGTGACGATTTTTATTTTATTTTTTTTAAAGAAATATACAGTGATTAAAACTTGGTTCTGAGAATCTTTGTTCTACGTAAAGAAAGGCCTTCTTGAGCCTCGTAAACATAGTAGAGCAGACTTAATTAAGTTGGCGATTCAGTGATCGGAATGTTCCATTGTCTTTTCATTGTTTTGAAAATCCAACTGTTCTTCATACCACCCAGTCATTCATTCATCAGTTTCTACTTAGGAAGTCTGAATACAACCGTGAACTGGAAAAAAGCATAAAAATCATTCAAGACAAACACTTCACGACACGTTCGCGACACTTACAACCACACGGAAACCAGTATTTAGAAATCAAGCTATTGTTGTTAAGCAGAAGATTTTATGCTCCTGAGAATTTAAAGTATAGGTTCTAATCGTATAAAGGACCATAACTGCATAAAAATGTCAAATTACTAATTACACACATCATCAGTTCGAGTAAAAATGGTTCAACTGACCACAGCGCAACGAGTTTAAATTCACTTCTATTCTGTGTTTAACGAATCCGTGCATGCATGGGCTCAGCATAGTGCTATGCATTCAAATTCCAACAATGACAATTAATGCAATATATATGCATGAGCAGGGGTGTATATTCTTCTATAACCCTCCTGGGTGGGGGAAAAGAATCAAAGGGTCTTAGGGCTAGGGAAGAAAATCAAAGAAGAGTAGAAAAAATGGAAAGGCAGAGGGAAAAGAAGAGAAAAATTTCCGTGGGTAATTCGTGAAAATCAGTGTTTCCACTTTGCAAAATGATTTTTTCTATTTTTTTCCTAATGGAAAGTAACTTAAATAAATATGAAAAGCTTTACTGAGGATTGCAAATTTAGTAAATAATAACTTATAACTAGCTAATTTATAATTTAGGTATTTTATTCTATCTTGGGGAGGGGACAAATATACTATGTCATAGTATTACTATTAGGTACAGGCCTTTGAGGCTGATGTAGTAAAGATATGGGGGAAAGAATCGGAGTTCATTAAGAATATACACCCCTGTGCATGAGCGATCCATGTCTAGTTTATACTAACTTTGGAAAGTGTAAGGATGGTTTGGAACGCATTGATCGTGTGTTGTAGCTTTGTTAAAGTTTGTAACCCTGTCTCTATTGTTTTACAATGACATGTGTAGGTAGGACTTAATTTGGGACTCCTCAGTCCTGTTGTATGTACCTTCAATCGTTTTGTTGATTATAAATTAAAATTAACAATTCTTGATAGCAAGCTAAACATACAAAAATATGTAAGAATTATAAGCCAAGGGTTTCTCACTTAACTTTCCTGGATATTCTCACAGAGCAATATGTAAGAATTATAAAGCCAAGGGTTTCTCACTTAACTTTCCTGGATATTCTCACAGAGCAATATGTAAGAATTAGAAAGCCAAGGGTTTCTCACATAACTTTCCTGGATATTCTCACAGAGCTATAAAGGCTTTTTACTGGCTGCTATATAGTCTAGCGGATATACATAAGTCAGAAAATCATGCACTTTGTGAAGAAAACACGTAATGATCGAAAAAGGTGTCATTAAAGAGCTAAAATCCTGATCTTTTTTAACGCAAAAAATGTTAATCTCACTGCAGTATAGAATACTTAACGCGCAATAACATGCCAAAATTCCTCTGACAAATCTAGTAAATCCAGTGACGATTTTTTTATTTTATTTTTTTTAAAGAAATATGCTGTATTAAAACTTGGTTCTGAGAATCTTTATCCTACTTAAAGAAAGGCCTTCTTGAGCTTGGTTCTGAGAATTAAAACTTGTTTCTGAGAATCTTTGTCCTACGTAAAGAAAGGCCTTCTTGAGCCTCGTAAACATAGACATAGTAGAGCAGAGTCTGACTTAATTAAGCTGGCGATTCAGTGATCGGAATGTTCCATTGTCTTTTCATTGTTTTGAAAATCCATCTGTTCTTCATGCCACCCAGTCATTCATTATCAGTTTCTACTTAGGAAGTCTGAAGTGGTGATTTCCTGGTGATCAACTTTTATTTTTACCCTGTTGCGCACCGCAGCCAGACGTGGTCCTCCTTATCCAAAAAAAGTTATATAAAAGTTTACATCATATATAGTCAATAAGTTATATTTAAGAGGCAATTATTTTCAATGACGTGTACCTGCGATGAAAGGTGTTCAAAACCTAAAATCAAAATTACCTTGTTTTGTAGTTCACACAGTTAGTAACCTTTTTGTTACTAACCCGGTTGAAAAACACAAAATAGTAGTTAAATATTGTCAATAAATACAATTATCATTGATGTTGTAAAATTGACGCCATATTCGTCATTGATGTTGTAAAATTGACGCCATATTCATAGAGGGATATGAGCAAAACTTGCTGAACTTCAGACATCATTTTCTCTTTGGCGTACCATCTAAAATCTCTTCATTTTAGCATAATTTTACAGACAAACCACTAAGCACAAGTATGCTATAAGTGTGATGATGAAACCTACGATTTGATAAAGGTTCCACCCTAACTCCTCTAAAACCAAAGACGATCTAAAATCAACATATCATTTCCTTCATCGCCGCATATCAGATCAATAGACCATATAGCGAAGAACAGAAGAAAGGTATTTGTTAATATACAGGGTGTATAAAAAAAAATGTAATCCAAGTTTAGCATACCATTGTACGTTAATTACTCGGTGTAGGAACGTAATTTTTTCATAATCATAAAGATCAGGCTTTTAGCTGTTGAATGACACGTTCAGTTTCATCCAATCTGGAGAAAAAAATGAGCAAATACGAGTCCGATAAAAATTGTTTGTCGAAATCGCATATTTTCACCTCTGTGCCTTGATACTGATTAAAGCAGTGCATATATAACAAAAGGAAAAGCAATAATCACGAATGTGTCTTTTTAACAATGAGCTTAGCCTTAGAGCTAGTTATTTACAAATTAAATTCACTGTCAAGGTTTCTGCGAGCATAGGTAAATTCTATTTAAATCTTTCTAAAATTTTATAAGTACTATATAATTGGCTCAACAAATACACTTTTTCATGCACAAAACTAAATGCTTCGTGTGCTTTTATTCATGCTTGTATTCTATTCCGATAAGAAATTTTTAATTATACGCACGTGTAAAGCACTTGAATGGGTAGCTGTTTTAATAGTTTTAATTAATATCCATCTTTGGCATATAGAAATACAATGGATTTACAATGTCAATGTAAAATATATAAATACTTACATGTAAGCCTATAATGGAAAAGTTGAAAAACTATTTAAATACAAGATATACAGTAAAAATCATATTCGAGAATTTAATTGATAATGTACACGCCCTTGGAATAAAAGACGTACTATGTCTGTGTGTTTTTGAGGATTGTCTTGGAAAGCTGTCTTTATAGTCCTCCTCTGTTCGTAAGTTTGATTATTTCTGATGGCTATAGATAACGGTTACATGGGATGTTTGGCACTTCCACGAAGTCTTTAAAGGTTTGTTGTCTTTAAAGGTTTGTTGTCTTTAAAGGTTTGTTGTCTTTAAAGGTTTCTTGTTCGATCGTACGAAAGCACAGAACAGGCAAATATCTAAAGTATTTGTATAACTATAGGATTACTGGAATTATCATAAATAATTATAAAAATATGCGTCTCTTTTGACACGATAGGTTAAGTCTACAGCAGGGCTGATGTGATCCTGAAGATTACACTAATATATAAATAAATCAAAAGTAACGTTATCAATTCTAACCATGAAAGACTAATAAGACTGATCAATATATTTAGTATCGAACTTTCCCTTAGCCTCATTTTAACAATAGATTTCTTTGTTTTTAAAATGACCAATAACAAGGCTTAAATTTTTAATTTAATTGAATACGACATTTCCGGAGTTTACTCCATCATCAGGTAAAAAGAAAATGGTTATTATAAAAAACAAAAAGAAGTAATAAGACTCTTTTAAGAGTCATAGCTAGGTATAATCCAAGGATCCTAATTTGAATCGTTGTCAAGAGAGTTCCATATAGAGATGATGCTAATACCGGAGTATCTCCATGTATAATCCATCTTTGGTATTTGTGGCATCCAGTCACAATCCAGTGATCGGAATGTTCCATTGTTTAATTTGAAATTCTCACTGACTGTTGTACATTCCATCCAATCTGTCTTCTCATGCGTATTAAGGAGTTTACGCATGTACGGCGTCTCGACGACGACTAAACAAACAGTTTGAATTAAATGCGGATTGTATGCAAATTGTGTCCGGTGTTTACTTTCGTATAAATTTAAATGTAGTTTCGAAAGGTTAAAAAAGAGCTTTAAAAGGTTAAAATAGAGCTTTAAAAAACTCGGGATTTGTACATCTCACTCAATATAACCATAGATATCTTATATACACTAGATACACTGCAAAAAATGCATTTTTTCATTTGAGTAAATGTTACTCATTTTTTGAGTAATTGCACCAATTACTCAATAATTTGAGTATATTGCACTCTTTACTCATAAACGTGAGTAAACAACAACTCCGAATTTTGAGTAAAATTCTTTGAGTAACTGCTACTCAAAGAGAAGAGTATAAATTACTCAACACTGAGTAAATGACAAAATGTACTTTACTCAACGGTTGAGTAAATGTCACCAACTCAATATTTTGAGTAAATACACATTTTTACTCAATTTTGAGTAAATGAAGAATTTACTCAAAATCGTGAGTAAGAGTAAAGAACAGCTTTACTCGAGAAGATGAGTATAATTTACTCAACATTGAGTAAATGATAAAATTCACTTTACTCAAGCGTTGAGTAAATGTCACCAACTCAATATTTTGAGTAAACGCACATTTTTACTCACTTTTGAGTAAATGAAGAATTTACTCAAATCTTGAGTAAGAGTAAACGACAGTTTACTCAAGAAGATGAGTATAATTTACTCAGCACTGAGTAAATGACAAAATTTGCTTTACTCAAGGGTTGAGTAAATGTCACCAACTCAATATTTTGAGTAAATACACATCTTTACTCTTTTTTGAGTACATGCATGAAGTATGTACTCAAATTTTGAGTAAAGAGTAAACAACAGCTTTACTCAAGAAGATCAGTATAATTTACTCAGCACTGCCGGTAAATGACAACATTTACTCTACTTATATTAAGTAGTCAAGCCCGGTTGAGTAAATTTCACCAACTCAAATTCTTAATATAATACCGATAATTTATGACAAATCTTGTAAACAAACTAAGTATGAAACTATATACCATTTAATACATTTTGATTAACAAAACCAATTTTCATATTATCTCATATCAGTAGCTATACAGTTACATAAATCTGCATTATTTTGTGCAACTTTCAAGTTAAGCAAATATTAACAGTTTATTGTAAGCAATCTAATCCATAGCGCAAAACAACGAACAGTTTATTTGCATTATCAAATCTTGGTGGATGCCAAGGGGCTGGAAATATAATGTTTCCCATCGCAAGTAAAACTTTACTTATTTTACCAAAGGTTGACTAGTAATAATGACACAACCTTCAGAATAGCCACTGCCAAAAATCTTGACTTAACCCAAGTCCTGCAACAGAAAGTTGAATAATAAATGGAAATTTTACTTTAATTAATTCTTAATAGATAATATTATAATCGTTTAGATTGATTCAGGTTTTAAATCTAGCAAAATATTTTGCTCTTTTCGTGTTAATCCTCTAGCAATACACTCACGTCCTGTCACACTTTTCCCTTTTCATAAATCGTCTAGGAGAAGTGTTATACATGATGTGGGTCTTTGCACGGTCTTTGTTACAAACTTCCTAATTATAGTATAACTAACGTTCCAGCCATTAACCAATCATCGATGGAGAAATCCATGCGGGCTGTAAACGCGGCATAGTCAAATTGCATCCTATATTCTGTCAATCTGTCGGTCCATGGTCAGTCAACGTGTTCACTGCAAAGGCGCTCGAGTCATCTAATTTTTGTTGAACACAACAAGAATTTATTTGTTGAAGATGTTAAAGAAAGACGTTCGAGAGTGGTTGATCAAAGTTGACTTTGCCGACTACTGTGAAAGTTTTAAAGGTATGTTCTACGATGGGCATATTGTGCCGCGAGCAGACAGACGACGCAATTCGGCAACGCGGCGCTATTTTTCGATTCTCATCGATATATGTAACTTTGATCCGGATTTAAGTTTTTCAAAGATTGCGCTCTAACATATTGAGTCATTTGGTATATATATTTTAAACGTTCCTTTCGTTAGCGGTTTCATTTACTTTGAAAATTCAAAAATCGCGCCGCGTTTTTGAAACGCCTCCGGTGTGTCATATGTACCGGCACTATCTTCTGCAAATTTTCAGTATATGTTCACCGCACTGTGACCCAATCTATTAAAAAATGTAAACGCTAGGTGCTATTTAACTGTACAGCATTGATTATGGTGTTTGCACGTAAAATCCTTCTTTTGAATCACCATTCGTGCGAAATTTGCTGTTAGTAATATGATCATTGCCAGACATCAGATTGATCAGAAGGACCGAGTGTAAATATTTAATATGCCTAGGTTTATAACGTTTATTATATAACAAAGGGTCGCATGTGACAATATGTGAGTAGCTATGTTCCCCAATGTGAAAATTATTTTCAATTGCTCGCCAACGGCTAAATTCCAAATTATATGCAGATAGGAAGGCAATAATATTCATCCTACTATGTTGGCTTTATATTGTAACGCTAAAACTTGACACCTATTACGAATGCATGGTAAAACTGTTATTCGCCATTCAGAAACTAAAGGGAAACATGAAAAGAATAATTAAGATGACATTCACTGATTTTTTAGACAATATGATTGATGGACAAGCTTGGCTCAACGATCAAGGTTGGTTTTACTTTCATATTTTTAAAACAGCTTGAAAGTCAATAATATAGCAGGTTATGCAGAACGGTGATCCAATGATCACGCAGCAGCTACTATATCTAGTGTAACATGTATGAGAGGTATGGTTGGCCTTAAAAGTTGACTCTGGAAGTCTCTTTTCCACAGTTTTCTACATGAAATCTTTGACTCAGATGAGGGGGTGCATGATTTTTAACTTTGCATAGTCGAAATATAGTAAAGGAGGAAACAGTAGGATTTATTAATAGAAACGAACTTGTGGGTTAAAACAGCAATATAGTAATGAACTTAAACACAGTTTGTTTTGAATTTTAATCTTAGTAGTGCTGTTTTCAGCTTTTGTGTAAGGCTGGTACTTGCCGCCTTTGACCAATAGCTCACTCAGGTGGCACATCTTAGAGCCACCTGTCAGTGGAAACTGCTATGGCATAATTCAAAGCTTGTATACATTCATGCTGATGCAGTTTACTGTTGTTGTGTAAGGCTGGTACTTGCCGCCTTTTACCAGCACTTCTTTTGAGTGGCATGGTCAAACAAGCCGCTCATGAAAGGGGAGATGCATGAATGTATACCTTCTGTATTGACAATTTTCTATTTTGCATCATGGTCAAATATATAGCAAATGAAAGAAACAGTAGGTTAGTATATACATATGCATGCAGTATATTTTCCTCTATCTATATGATAATTTAAAAATAGCACTTTTTAGCATTTCATGAACCAAAATGTACTCGTATATAAATTATATATATTACAATTACAATAATTACAATTTTACTTATATTAGACAAAATGAACTTGTGAGTTAATTAAAACAGCAAAGGTAATGAACTTAAATAACAATACAGTTTGTTTTGAATTTTGATCTTAGTAGTGCTGTTTTCGGCTTTTGTGTAAGGCTGGTACTTGCCGCCTTTGACCAATAGCTCACTCAGGTGGCACATCTTAGAGCCACCTGTCAGTGGGAACTGCTATGACATAATTCAAAGCTTGTATACATTCATGCTGATGCAGTTTACTGTTGTTGTGTAAGGCTGGTACTTGCCGCCTTTTACCAGCACTTCTTTTGAGTGGCATGGTCAAACAAGCCGCTCATGAAAGGGGAGATGCATGGATGTATACCTTCTGTATTGACAATTTTCTATTTTGCATCATGGTCAAATATATAGCAAATGAAATAAACAGTAGGTTAGTATATACATATGCATGCAGTATATTTTCCTCTATCTACACTATATGATAATTTAAAAATAGCACTTTTTAGCATTTCATGAACCAAAATGTACTCGTATATAAATTATATACGGTATATTAAATAATTACAATTTTACTTATATTAGACAAAATGAACTTGTGAGTTAAAACAGCAAAGGTAATGAACTTAAATAACAATACAGTTTGTTTTGAATTTTGATCTTAGTAGTGCTGTTTTCAGCTTTTGTGTAAGGCTGGTACTTGCTGCCTTTGACCAATAGCTCACTCAGGTGGCACATCTTAGAGCCACCTGTCAGTGGGAACTGCTATGGCATAATTCAAAGCTTGTATACATTCATGCTGATGCAGTTTACTGTTGTTGTGTAAGGCTGGTACTTGCCGCCTTTTACCAGCACTTCTTTTGAGTGGCATGGTCAAACAAGCCGCTCATGAAAGGGGAGATGCATGAATGTATACCTTCTGTATTGACAATTTTCTATTTTGCAACATGGTCAAATATATAGCAAATGAAAGAAACAGTAGGTTAGTATATACACATGCATGCAGTATATTTTCCTCTATCTATATGATAATTTAAAAATAGCACTTTTTAGCATTTCATGAACCAAAATGTACTCGTATATAAATTATATATATTACAATTACAATAATTACAATTTTACTTATATTAGACAAAATGAACTTGTGAGTTAATTAAAACAGCAAAGGTAATGAACTTAAATAACAATACAGTTTGTTTTGAATTTTGATCTTCGTAGTGCTGTTTTCGGCTTTTGTGTAAGGCTGGTACTTGCCGCCTTTGACCAATAGCTCACTCAGGTGGCACATCTTAGAGCCACCTGTCAGTGGGAACTGCTATGACATAATTCAAAGCTTGTATACATTCATGCTGATGCAGTTTACTGTTGTTGTGTAAGGCTGGTACTTGCCACCTTTTACCAGCACTTCTTTTGACGTGGCATGGTCAAACAAGCCACTCATGAAAGGGGAGATGGATGAATGTATACCTTCTGTATTGACAATTTTCTATTTTGCATGGTCAAAGATATAGCAAATGAAAGAAACAGTAGGTTAGCATTATATATATACATACAGTATATTTTGCTCTATCTATATGATATTTAGCACTTTTTTAGCATATTGCATGAACCAAAATGTACTTGCATAATACTTTATATATATTTTTACTTATATTAAACAAAAATGAACATGCGAGTTAAAACAGCAAAGGTAATGAACTTAAACAACAATACAGTTTGTTTTGAATTTTGATCTTTATTTAGTAGTGCTGTTTTCAGCTTTTGTGTAAGGCTGGTACTTGCCGCCTTTGACCAATAGCTCACTCAGCTGGCACATCTTAAAGCCATCTATCAGCGGGAACAAATCTATGCTGATGCAGTTTACTGTTGTTTTGTAAGGCTGGTACTTGCCACCTTTTACCAGCACCACTTTTGAGTGGCATGGTCAAACAAGCTGCATGCTCATGAAAGGGGAGATGCATGGATATATACCTTCTGTATAAATATTGACAATTTTCTATTTTGCATGGTCAAATACTGTGTATACCGGTAGCAAATGAAAGATATATTTTAGCATTCAGCAGTTTTTAGCATTTCATGAACTAAAATGTACTTGTATATAAATTATATATATTTTTACTTATATTAATTCATTAAGTATTAACTCAGTAAGAAACAATTACTACATGGGTTTGCCCATTGGGGGGAATGGTGAAGCTAGCTTCTGCGAACCTGTGCTTAGGCCAAATGAAAAAAATATTTGGTTAGCGTCACATTTTTAAATTTTTAAAGGGGGGATGGGGGCGGTTTTTGTACCATATCGGTGAAATTTTTTGTACTGATGTTGCGAATGGTGCAATTTTACTATAAGAATTCTGTATACCCAAGCCCACACGCTCCTATCGATCAGTATATATAGCGCGAAGGTCTGAGCATGAAAAAAATTCAAATATTAAACTGTTTAAGCTGTAAAACGAAGAGATTTACATAAAAAAGAGGCAGCAGAAATCGAGAGGCGAGCGGTGATGCCAAGTTTTTATTTAATTTGGCCTTATATATATACTGTGACATGCTTGTGCCAGGCATGCTGCATGTAAATAAAAATTAAATGTGTAATCTCACTACATTTCTTATTTTGGCATAAGGATGAAAGCTTTGAGGATGCTGTCAGCTTGTAATATGCATGGTAACCCCCCAAATTCTGATAAAGGGAAACATTGAAAACTGCAACGACTGCGACGAGATTGATGGCCGTTGTTGCCGAAACCATGGTCCTTTATATCTTCTGAAGATGGCTGGTAGATGTAGCTGTGGCATCTGTGGCTACAAATTATGTACTTATATGGACAGTACCCAGGTAGTCTTATGTACTAAAGCTACTAAACATAAACATAAACAACAGCAAGAAGCTACTGGCTTCTGTGATAACCTATTTGTGAACAAGCTCAATACAATTATGATCGAAGATGATGATTGAAACTGCTAAGTATTAAAATGTGCTATAGCCATTTTAAGCAATCTTACACGAGGCAATTTTCGTTGCAACTTCTGCCACATAGATTGATGTACAGTATATTTATAATAACATCACATAAAAAGTATTAACTGAGATTCAGCGACCTTAAATTTACTCTGATTACGTTTTACATAACATTGCTATATATGCCAGAAGTTGCATTGCAAGTTGCACCAAAAATTGCCTCATGGCCTTAATTAAACACTATATATATAGATATATTAAGACTGTTTTATCTTACCTCTTTGATCTTTTAAGACTTTATCTGATTTCATTTTTCAATTGGTGCATGTAGATGCATGTATTACAGTACAACTGAACTATTATATACTGTACATTGAAGGTTTATCAGCTCAAACGAACTGAAACCTGCCAACTGAAACTATTACAGTAAAGTCTGGAACTTATTATAAAATTGACGTCCGAGAATGACTTCCCGATCGAGCCGCCATTTTGGCTAAAGTCACTAAAGTAATAACCTTCCATCCATGTATACATATAGTTCAGTGTACTAGAGTAATAATTTTAAAAATCTTGTTGAGTTGTGGGAGGTTTTAATAATTATAAACGTTTATTCTTCAAAAAATATTGTTTGTGCTTGCATAATTCTATTGACGATTAATAGTATATATAATTATTTTTGTTTCTCAAAGTAACACACTGTGGAGTACTTTTGTTCCTTACTGTGGCACACTGTGGAGTACTTTTGTCTGCTACTTTAATGGAGCATGTTTTAGTAGATGTACTCAAAGTTTGAGTAAACTGTACATCTACAGTACTCAAAATAGAGAGTCATTTCGGGCGCATTTTATTTGAGTAACTAGAACTCTTTTTTGAGTAAAAATACTCAGAGTTTGAGTAAACTGTACATTTACTCAAAATAAGGAGTCACTATGGGTACATTTTATTGAGTAACTAGAACTCTTTTTTTTGAGTAAACATACTCAAAGTTTGAGTAAATTTACTCAAAGTTTGAGTAAAATGTACATTTACTCAAAATAAGGAGTCATTATGGGTGCATTTTATTTGAGTAACTAGAACTCTTTTTTTGAGTAAACATACTCAAAGTTTGAGTAAATTTACTCAAAGTTTGAGTAAAATGTACATTTACTCAAAATAAGGAGTCACTATGGGCGCATTTTATTTGAGTAACTAGAACTCTTTTTGAGTAAACATACTCAAAGTTTGAGTAAATTTACTCAAAGTTTGAGTAAACTGTACATTTACTCAAAATAAGGAGTCACTATGGGTGCATTTTATTTGAGTAACTAGAACTCTTTTTTTGAGTAAACATACTCAAATTTCGAGTAAAATTACTCACGTTTTGAGTACGTTTACTCAAAGTTTGAGTAATTTATTGTTTACTCCTACCGTGAGTAACTGTAAATGTGTATAACTTGAGTAGTTTCAACTCAGTTTTTTGAGTAAATTAACTCAAAAATTTGAGTAAATATTACTCACATTTTATGAGTAGTTTTACTCACTATTTTGTGTCACTGTGGGTGCATTCATTTACTCATTTTTTTGAGTGGATTCTACTCAGAATTTTTTGCAGTGTAGTGTATACAATTATTCTGCAATTCAAAAATTGAAGCCGTGATTGCAGACTCAGGATATTCCCATGAAATGAGAAGACTCGTATGTTTTCTATTTCTTAGCCAGGGAACTTAAACATTAAGTTAAGCCTATTCCAAATACATTTTCAAACTATTCAAATGATGACAGTTATTGTTGTTTTTAAGTGTTTATTATAGCGAGTGGGAAACTTCAACATGGCCGCCATCTATTCAAGTGAGGGTAACCGCTGGACTATTCAGCTTGGCTTCAATTTTACTAAAAGAAATGCGCTATCTAATGTATATAAGATATCTATGAATATAACTAATTGTTTAAAGTGCCTATGACACAAAACCCAAGTGTTTATGATTGCATTGTAAAGATCACTTAAAATGACTTAATAATTTCTTTTATAGAATTTCGATAACTTGCTTCCTTTGCAAGATATTCAACTTTGTTTCATATGCAAATATCACCTGTACGTGACATCACATTGCATAATGATATTTTGAAAACGCAATATTTTACCTTGATAAAATATTTTTACAAACAAATACAGAGGGTTAATTACCAGTTATGAAGTTA